ATCAGACCCCGTGTAATCAATGAAGAAGCGATTACAGAACAATCGGGCTGAATTTAACGTTTGTTGGGAATTTGAAGATAATTTTAGACACTTTTTCATTTTACTCAAAGTTTATATTTACGCATCATAATTGTAAATTTATTACTGTGATCCGTAGGATACATTTGTTGGGGATATTAATTCTTTTCAAACTGAACAAACGCGTTGAAAAACAGTGCAACTTGCTCGATTAAATAAAACCTGAGAATTATGCGGTGAAATTAATATGTTAAGATACAATATGATAAACACCAAGTTCTACAAACAACGATTGTAAAAATCTCTAGAATTTTAAGTCCAAAAATTCACATACAGTAGAAAGGGGGATGCTGGAGTGATACTACACTTTTTGCACCTTTTGCACCTTTTGCACCCAGAGCTGTCAGTTCATGGAAACATTTGTGTAATACACAAATTATGTGGCTTTTGTGCACAGACCGAAAGTGTTCCACTATCAGAGAACAACATGGAATCATTAAAACTGAATTTAGAAACCTGACAAAAAATCTATTTACTTAAGTTATAGGTTAGGTAACCTATAACATATTTAAGGGAATAGATTTCGTTTTAAGCTTCTACACTTAGTTTTAATGATACCATGTTGTTCTCTGATTTATTGCGAATAGTACAACACTTTCACGAATTGACAGTTCTAGGTGCAAATAGTGCAACAAGTACAAAATTACTCCAGCATCCCTTTAGCATTGCTAACTAAAATTCTAAGAATTTCTAGAATTTTACGTTTCCGCGAGGTTGGTGCGGGCCGCGAACAATGTAAAAAGAAGAAGTAATTAATTTTTGTGCCATTAATAAAGTAACGTAAACTGTGATAATGTTCAGAAACACAAGAATTCGAAGAACGCGCGTAAATAAGACGATCACAAACATATCTCGACGGTTTCGTTTTACTCGTATCTTTTAACCCAAAAAAAAGAAAAGAAATTATAAGCAATCGATTGTGCCTCCCTTTTGCAGAAAATTTCGACGAGTCGGCGAATTCTTGGGGAGGAACCGCTTCCAATAATTTTCAATTGTGCGCCACCTCGTCCGATGCGGACGGACGTGCGGCTGGACTCAGGGCCGAGCTGGCCGTTTCGTTATTATTCGTTTCGCTCGCTCTCCATTCGACTCGAGCACATCGCTTCGCCGACCATCACCCGTTGCTCGGCAACCTCTGACTCGCGACGTGTCGTTATATGATGGCGGCGGGGGTGGATAACCGGTGCGGCTGTTCAGTCTCTCTCCCTCTTTTCCCACCCCGCCCCTCTCTCCCTTTCTATCTCCCTCTTTGTGCCTCCACTGTTCCACCGAGGCCGTCGAGTGGCACTCGTTGACCAAACGGTCATTACGACAAATGTTAGATATATCTTGACGACGCCATCAGATACTCCGCGAACTAGCACGAATCGGACGGGGTGTGTATGGGGTGAACCGCTATAACCACCCTTCACGGCGAGTAGCGCTGTTGGCACCTATCCATACAAGCTGCAGCTGCTGAATTATGCTCGCGCTCGTTTGACATAATTTTCGGTCGAGAATATATGTGTAATCGATAATCAGACAATATAGGGGAGACATGTGTGCGGAAAGTAACAACTTATTCAAGTTGCCCGGGACGAAAATGGCTCGTGGAATATCAATCTTAACGTAACAATTTGCGCCATGGTACATTTGCATAACTGATCCCTCGAAACGCCATCCGAATACGCTTAATCTGTTATTCGTAAACTGGCGCGTGTAACAACGAGCACTTGGGCGATTGTTAAAGCGATCCCTTTTCATTGCGATGATGAATTTTCCAACTGGGTTAACGACGCGAGAAATTTACTGCATGGCTTGATTCTAAGCGATCATCCAGTTATCACCGTCCTATGCGTGTTCTTAAAGTTTACACAAGATAGAACGAAGAGAGCGTAGATTGAGCCCGTCGAGGGTCATATATCTCAACTCATTAATTAAAATGATGCTATCATAATCTGCCGTGCGATCCTGCGTTCCACGATGATTAGCAAAGATCTCGTAAATTTCGCAGAGAGCGCGTCGCGAATCTATTTATTAATCATCTTTATCTACCTCGCAGCGGCAACGAATGTGCGCGTATAAATGTGGCATGATATAAAAGAAGAAATGAGACTGAGGCATAGCAAAGTCTTATTGGGAGGAAAAACTTTACTGCTGTCACGTGGAAAAAATCTGGGCAGCCACCCGCGATATTTAATGACGGGTACCGACAATATTTTGTCGCCGACTACCTGCTGTTCTAATCGTAATAAGCCAACGGCAAATCGTCCGTTGCAACGTAAACGATAGTTATTAATAAGAGAAGATGAAATTGCTATCTGTCGGCTTTTCGGAGCACACGGCCTATCGTTGATATCACGACTCGGTATCGCTGCGAGCTGCCCCCGAGAAAGTTAGAACGGCATATCGCGCGGACAGCATCTGAGAAAATAATCCGAGTTAATTCCATCGGAGCCGACACACATCTCGGGGCCAACTTGTAGCGTTAATTCCAGGAGTCCCCCGGAAAGAGAATGGACACGGCCATACGCAATAAATAAATCCAATAAAAGACACGCGAGGCAGGGCGAAAAGAGAGGAAAACGGGCCGGCCAGGCTAACTGCAGGAGACGGAGAGGAGACGGGAAGACACCGACAAACGCGGAGGCAGAGACAGAACCCGAGGCGCGGAATAGCGCGAGGGTGAGAAGAGAGAGACGTGGACGCGGGGGGCTGAGAGCGACGGGGAGGAACGTTGCGGGAGCGAGACGCATCGACGGCGGGAGGAGGGGGGGGGGGGGTTGGGGAACGGGGTGGCGCGCGCTATCGCGAACCCCGCCGGCGAACGCGGCAGGATGCCGAGGTCGACGCTATCGATTGGCGTCGGCGTTTCCTCGTCGGTATCTAGCGGTCGGTGCGCGCTCTCGCTCTTCCTCCCTCCCCCTGTCTCTCCTGCCCGTCCCCGTCTCTCTCTCTCTCTTTCAGCCGCGGGGTAAGAGGGGGATGGTTTTGCCCCCCGACGCCCCCCGTCCCTTCCCTCCATCTCGCTCCGTCGCTCGCTCTTCCACCCTTCCTCCTGAGCCACCCACCGCGGTAACAGGTGTTGGTCTGGCCCCGAACTCGTACAAAATCGATGGGCGAGAGCCGGATCGGCGTCGCGAGGGGTTTCCCCGCCGATCCACATCCCCGCCCGCCGTTGCCCCGCCGGCCTTCCCCCTTAGCAACCTCCGCGCGATCCCCTCGAGCGAGGAGGGTGACGCGTAAGAACGGGGGAGCGAGAGCGAGAGGACGCGAGGCGCCGCGGCCGACGGAGAGGCGACGAGACAGGGCAGGGGGTTGGAAGCGCGAGTTACGCGGCCGGGGGTGGCGGCGAGGGGAGGGGGCGAGAGCTGCACACGAGCGCGGCAGCGGCGGCGAGGACGCAGGCGCCCGGGACGCGGGGCGACGCTCGTCGGCGACGCTGCATTGGCAGTTGCACCCCAGCCACACCCGGTACGAGCCATGTAGTCGGGCTACCCTCCACCGCGATACACGGCGGACAATTGTTGCTTCTGCGCCTACAGGTGGTACATCTTCGTCTTCGATCTTCGCGGAGCTCGTCGGTACTCGCGTCCGCTGTCGCCGGGTGTCCGGGGATTCCGTCGTCGTCCTCGTCGTTGTTCCCACCGTTGTCCTCATCTTCGTAGTCGTCGTCGTCGTCGTTGTCGTCGCCGTCGCCGTCGCCGTCATCGTCGTCGTCGTCGTCCTTGTTCTTGTCGAGCCGTCGTTCGTTCTTGTTCCACGTCACCGCCGTCGCCGTCGCCGTCGCCGTCGTGGCCGTCGAGGTGCTCGTTGTCGTGGTTACGCCTCGTGTATATCCGTCCGCCGTGCGAAACCGCCGGTAGTCCGCGTGCTCGCTGAGCGAGCCATCGTCGCTACGGAATCCCGGCCGGAGCCTCCGGCGAGGAAACGTAAGAGGGAAGGACGCGAGCGGCGCCCGCGGTGAGACCAGGAGAAAATACCGTGGCTTCGGGCGCGCTCGTCGGCCAACTCGCCTTCGACTGCGACTGTGTGCACCGCGTACAGGGTGCGAGAGCGCGAGCACGGGGGTTGCTAGGGGGTGCGCGCGGGATTTCCGGGGTTGCGGAGAGGGCTAGAGGGAGCTATCGACCACACACGTAAGGCGGCGGCGGCAGCGCTCGCACACACCGGCGCACACGGATACACAACATCGCGGACCTGTTGTCCAACTTGTTGCTCGTCCCTGCGAAGGCACACCCGCCCATCTCCGGAGTCGAAGGAGAGCTTGTTTTCGAAAAAGGAGGCAGTGCCGGCCGCGAAGAACCGTCGGGCCGCATACCGGAAGAGCCGCGCTCCGACGATCGGGCTCCGACCACCCCCGGAAGCACGAGCGTGGGCGAGGATGGAAATGCGGCGAGACTGAAGCTGGCAGCTGCGACGGGACGTCTCGACTCGTCGATTCAAGTTGGATTTCGAGCAAGGAAGAATAGGGGAGGTTGATGAACGCGTACGATTTTTACCCCGAGTGTATAATTTTGTGCGAGCTTGACACACAGTGTTCGTTCAACCGGAAAGGAAGTTGGGATTCATCCGGCGAGACCTCCCGGTTCTCAACGAGCTCGGAAGAAGACATCGAGGAGGATTAAACGCACCGGAGAGCTCCGCTTTTTCGTCCCCAGAGCTTGATACTCGTCTCCTACAATTCTAGAGGATTAATGGCGCGCGCCGAATAATTCAGAGGACCAACTTCTTATAGAAACTCAGCTATTCGCATCCAAGCTCTCGTTTACCGTAAACGCAGCGCAACGTCGACCAGAGAACTCGCATTTGACGACGACGAGCAGGCCGGACTTTGATAACCGAAGCAGCGGGCGATCGTTTTTTAATCGCATCTCTCGATAATCAAACGGAGCCGGTCCCTCAGTACCGGGGCTCAGAGAAACTCGCGTGTACATCGTTCACGGTTGGCTCGCAGGCAGGTTCAACGTCCGTCGGCCGGGAGCTCCAGGTCCGGTCGCGATGAGGACACTATCGTCCAGGCACACACGCCCCGAAGCAGCGACGTCGTTGGGAATCATCGTGACGACGTATCACCTGGAACAACCGGGCGAGTGAATCCAGAGCGACGGGAACCCCAACGCGGATACGCGCATTCCCGGTGACGCATGTACTGCCAGAAGCAACGCGGGATAACGAACCCACGGCGGTGAAGCGGAGGAAGAGGGAAAGGGCGAAGGTGGGAAGAGAGGAAGGGAGACAAGCTAGATGGGCAGAACGCGCACGTAGAGGTATGCGTACGTTTTGCGAAGGACGAAATACGCGGCGGGCATGAGGCCGGCGCCGTAAGGGGCATGTAAATCTTCCACCCGTGAATATACAACGAAAGCAATACTACAAACAAGGTAATCTCGAGGAACAAAGCAGAGGCAAGCCGCACACACGCAGACACTTTCTGCCACCCTCCCGTGATCTCGCACCTAATCTCCGCCGTCTGATCGCGCGCTTCAGAATCACCCCGGAACAGCGTGCCATTCCATCCCCTCAGCTCGAACTCGATCATCGCGATCGACGGTTCCTCCCAGCTCCTCGCTTCACTTAAGAGATATTTTAATATGAATGTATACACGCGCATATAGGCATCGCGATCACGTACGCGCTCACTCTCTCATCCTTGTATATAGTTATACAAAAAAATATATATATACATTTATACGCAGAGTCCTATTGAATAATCGTGCAACGACGTTTAGGATTAAATCAAGCGACAATTAGCCAGGACAGCTACCTCGAGCTGAGCATTTTATCCTTCCCGAGGAGATAGGCGTCCTCGCGCCTCCTTGTTACAGGAAGAGATTTCAAGTGGAAGGAACGATTGGCACAGTATCAGCGACTGATAGATCGATACGAGGCGACCATGTCGCGCCTCAGGATATATGAGAGAGCGCGCGCGAATGGGACAAACGATTGGTGTATCGACTGAGACACGTCGTGTGCGATCGTCGCGTTGATCACCGGGAAGATAAACCCGGCGTTTTTCCGGACATGAAAACGAGCGGAGCAGGACAGTTGACGGTACGTTGAACGGTATATACATACAGTGCGCCGGCGGGGAGCTGCGAATTCCTCGAGGAGGATTCGCGCGCGATACACGCGATTGGTACTGCGCGATCGTGGCGCGGGAACGCGGCCGCAATAAAGCGCGTCGTCGCACCGAGGAACCGAGGAAGGAAAGATAGTCGGGGCTCAAGAGGGTTGTGTTTACCCCGCGCGGTTGTTTGGTGATCTTAGAGCGATACTTCGATATTAATCCCGGAAGGAGGACGCCGATCAGCCAAGATGCCGCGGTGCTACATGGTAAAGAAGGCCCTGTGCAACAAGTACATAACCAGCGTTGCCAGAGGATTTGAGAGCTGGGGCCGCGGAAGGAGTACACCATCGCCAACCACCGTGCAGCTGCCCGTCTCGCCTGTAGAGGGGTGCGCTGCATCCCCTGTTGCACAAGGTATACGCCATACTCCGAGTACCTCGCCAGGAACCTGCGCGATCGTTGATCGCTGGTTTGTCGAGTTAACCGGCCCTTCGATCGGACAGAGCGTCCGGTGCCCGCGTTTTCAATTACTTTTTACTTCTTTCTAATTCTGCACGGAAAGAACTTTCTCTTAAAATTTGCCCTGAAAATCATGTAATCGTGGGACAACATGGCATTTAGAAGAACTTACGAGTTCTTTAAAATTTTACCATTTCAAACAGTTCTCATATAATTCTTCAAAATGCCATGTTGTCCCATGATTACATGATTTTCAGGATAAATTTTAAGAGAAAATTCTCTCCGTACAGGAAAAGATACAAAGTTAAACCGAAATTAAAGTTAATCTGCCTTGGTAGAAATGGGTACAAAGTGGTTCTAAACTGGACAGGGCCGAAATGAGATTAAGATCTTATGTAATATAATATAAGAAAATATAACTCACATAATATATATAGGAAAGTCCCTTATTATGAGACAGGCTCCTAATACGAGATAGTTTCTGTTAACTTAATAGGCATCAGCTGTTGATCACCATGAATTTTTTGCTCTTGAAGTGAAATCTGTTTGGTGGAAAATTTATTGTTAGATTGTGTAGTCGTTGCGAAAGAAGATTTGTGATTGATTTTGGGTGTTGAAAACCCGCTACTTTATATAATATTAGAAACCTATCTCATAATAGAGGACTGTCCTCTACATATATTATAAAGTATGCGTATCTTTCGATTAGTAATTTAAAAAAAACGCGACGGTCACTTTTCTCCTTATTTTTCATTATTGTTTCAGCGCTTTAGTGGCATTTTATGATATTCACTTTGGCGCATTGCGCCGGCCTGCGTTTATATCGAATTATCAAGTGATAATGGTGCCGCACGCCGGCCGATGCGCACCGCGTAATTCCCGACAATGCGTTACCTGGTCGCAACAAAACGACCTTAATTGTCGGAATTCTCCGTGGCGTTACTACTTGTACGGCGCATCCGCCTCTCGTGTGAACGGCGAAAATGGTATGCGAAACTTGTCGAGGCAGTAAATGCAGTTACAAAGGCGGCGCTCAGAATCATCGTAATGGCAATGCACGTTTATAGCGTCTCGACGGGACAGAGAGGCGAGAATTTCGAACGTTCGCGCTGCAATTTGCAATTGACCGAAATCATTTGAGAAAGCAATTTCCGAAAGAAATAACGAGTCTTTGGTCGAAACTTTGTTGGATAAGTTTAATGCCCGTGTAATAATTTGAGATGTGAGAAATGTGATATCCAAATATTCTAAAGTTAACTTGTGGGATGCACAATTGTAAAATTCGGAATATCATTTTCCCGTTTCCCTATTTCCCACTCTCTTCTTTTTCTACAGCTTTCAGCTATTTATAGAGAGAAAAATGAAGAAGGAAGGAAATCTTAATTTAATAATTTTTATCTTATGTACACAATGCGTGCGCGCGTGTATTTTATTTTATACATTACAGTTCTTTTACGAGCCATACCTTAAGGGGATTCTAAAGCCGCTGGCGATCTCGATCAGTGTCGATAAGATAGAAGACGGAAATAAAAACGTCAATTACAGACATTTTTAATTCCAAGTTCTACTCGGTCCGAGAAATTTATAGCCAATCAATTTGCAACTTTTACAAAAGAAACAGCAATGTTATTAGCTACACATTACTCAGATCGAAATTTTGGATCGAATTCTAGCATTGCCAACACGTACCATGGCTTTATTGACAATCTGACAAATGTTTGGCAGCGACCTCTCTCGAAAAAGTCTACAACTATCTCTACACGCTATAATGCTCTTTTTCTCTTCTTCTATACTTGGATTTCTGGACTTGCGTTTATTAGAAGTAACCTTTTTCCTAAGCTATTAATCTTACGAAAGAAGAGTTTGCTTATTGTCACTAGTAATGATTAAAAATTGAGACGGGAAACTTATAGTCAACCCAACTGGCTAGTTAATTAATTAGTTTATTACACAACGTTTCGACCCTATTCTTTTGGGTCCTTTTCAAGTGATACTGCAAATCAACAACAACAACAACCCAGTTACGAAATAATGTAGGTTAATAAGCAAAAAGGATTTAGTTAAAAAGTTAAAAGTTAAGTAACGCACCGAAGTCAGTCATCGGCGTCGAATAAGACAGAGTCGAGTTATAAAATATATGTA